AATGGTTTAACCACAACAACTAGAAGTCCGATTTTCGCAAACGAGAGAAAGTACGAGAGTTCCGATTATCCACGATAAAAATACACGAATCTAATCTCTACAAACGAAACGAAACAAACGGACTAAATATAGCTCCTATAATCAACAGATCATGCTATGAACACAATAAAGAGAAGGTTTGACTCGGTTTACCCGACTTCAATGAATCTACAAGCTCGGTTCAAAAATAGGCAGAACGAACGGGACGAAACCTCGACGAACCCAACGAAAGAAGAAGCTCTTCGTTGATTGGTGTCGGACTGCTGTTATGAAACCGACGACGTACGGGCGGCTGGAACTCCCCGACGATGGTGAACGTCGACTCACGTGGACTAGGACAGATCGAGGGTAGCGGATGGAGGATGATTAAAGGGATGATTGCTTGGTGTTTTAGTCACTGATTTTTCTGATGGTTTGAGGGATTTAGGAAGAGGAAGGAATTTTCATTTTTCCACTAAGTGAATAATGAGAGGATAATGACGTTTTTATTAGGAGACAATGAGAGGATTTACTTAAACAAATTTATGAGGCCAATCAAGAAGGCATAAAATGTCATAAATAGCAAATATAACGGCTTAATTTGATCCTCTCCAAACGGTCAAGGAGGAAATCCATAAGCTGGTCCAAATTATCTATACTTAATCCCAAAGGAAATTTAAATTCTAAAAGTTAAATGAATATAATATATTCCTAAAGCATGCACGTTTTACTCCTTGACATTGAGATTAAATGGACCAAAAATATAAGAACTTTATGTAGAAATATTAAAATGCGAAGAAACGGGCTGAAATGGATTAAAAGTCCATTTAAGCGATTAAACCGAAAATCGCCAAAACAATTTAATATTTCAATCATAACTGGCAAACAAATAACGCAAAGGCAAATAATCAATAAAAAAAAAACAAATAAAAATATAATATTCAGAAAATTCTAATAAACGAATGGGGCGCTACATATTCAAAAACTTCCCTTTTTGATTTGCCAATGCCCAACGGTAGCCCAAGGTATCTTGTTGACCTGTGAGAGACAATACCATTCAATGATCTACAGATGGAAACTTAAAGATGTTGAGGTGTATTCTTGCTGAAGAAGATGGTTGATTTCTGTAAGTTGATCGTTTGGCCTGTGAAACATTTGTACTGCTCAAGAATTTGCATAAGGATTACTGCTTGGTCTGTGCCTGCTCTGTAGAAGAATAGGGAGTCATCTGCAAAAAGAAGATAAGAGAGCAATGGCCCATTTCTGGATATTTTCATTCCCTTCAACTGCCAATTAGAGATAGAATGTAGAATCAAATCAGTAAGCAACTCTGTAACAATGATAAATAGGTAAGTGGACAAAGGGTCCCCTTGCCTTATTCCCCTGGATGGAGTTACATAGCCACTGATTGATCCATTTATTTTGACAGAGAAAGATTCTATTGAAACACATACCATGATGAGTTTGACAAAATTAGGGTGAAAAGCCGTTTGCAACATGATATGCTTTAGGCAGAGCCATTCAACTCGGCCAAAAGCTTTTATTAAATTTATTAAATCTAACTTTAAAGCCATAAAGCAGTTGGGACCAGAGGAATGTCTGTTTAAGAAGTTAAAGGCTTCTTGGGGTATAATTACATTATCAATCAGTTGTCTGCCCTCAACAAATGCTGCCTGATAATCACTGATACAACTGTTCAAACCGGTCTCAAGTCTTTGAGTAAGAAGTTTGGAAATGATATTGTAAATGACACAACAAAGACATATTGGCCAGAATTGTACCAATGTATCTGGATTAGCACATTTGGGAATCAGGGAAATGATGGTGTGGTTCCAGTACTTTAAGAGCATACCTGACTGGAAAAAGCTGAGAATTTCCCTCATAAGGTCTTGCTTGGTGAGATCCCAAAAATGCTGATAGAAGGTTGTTGTCATCCCATCCTCCCCTGGGGATTTGTCTTGGTGTAAGCTGAATAATGCCTTTTTAACTTCTTTCTCTTTCGCTGGTCTCATCATATCATTGTTCATATCTGGAGTGATCGATGTGGGAATGTGATGTAGAATTGAATCACCACCCTAACTACCTTTTGAAGATAAGAGATTGGAATAAAAATCAGCAATATGCTTCTCTATGTCAGACTAAGTAGAGTAACTTCTTCCCTGAGCTGAGATTAATCTTGTGATGGCATTCTGTCTTCTCTTTTGCAGAGTAATGGCATGGAAGAATAGATTGTTTGCATCCCCTTCCTTCAACCATCTAAATTTTGCCTTCTGTTGCCAATACAGTGTTGGGTTCTGTTAGGAACGTCAAACAACATGCACAGTATTGAACTTTATCGAAATAAATCCTAACGCAGCGGAATCTATAGTTAGGATATGGACGTTTA